CAGCACAGGCAGCACATAGAGAGCAGCACAGCACAGGCAGCACAGAGACAACAGCACAGCACAGCACAGCAAATTCATTGCAACACTTTGGGACTTAATAACCACTGGACTGTACACATCCATCTTTAGCCAATTCCCTTAGCACAGAGACCAATCACCAATTCTTAATTCGAGTTATCATGTCTTTGGAGGTGCTGATTTGGAGAGCTGTCTTGGCCTTCTCGACATGCTTCTATAACTTTCCTCTGTCTGCATTTTAAACGAACCGCGAACAGGTTTCATCGTGGTTTTCCTGTTAAAGGCTAAAGGTTAAAGGCGCCAGTTCGACAAGAGACAGAACAGGTGTGAGGTGAACAGAACAGGTGTGAGTTCTAGTCTTCAGACAACAATTCGCTTTAGAACTGAAGTTGTAATTTGGGGGAGAGAAAAGTAAAGCGTAATTTTAGCACAAGAGTTACCGGATTTGAAGATCTTCCCATGAACTAAGACCCGGATTAAAACATGTAATCCGTAAAATAAGGAAGATTCCAGTGAAATACGTGTCTAATGGGAGAGAGTAGTAACGGTACATCTGAATGAGCACTGACAGGGCGGGGAGGGGGATCGGGAGATCACTTCCTGAACGGCAGACACAGGGATCGCCCGGTCTCCGCAGGTCTACGCCAGCTCCACCGCGCAGGACGCCAGCAGCAAATTCGACACCGCGGCCAACAGCGCCGTGCTGCAGCTGAAGGCTGGGGACGAGGTCTACGTGAAGCTGGACGGGGGGCAGGTCATGAAAGACGGCGCCCAGGGCAGATACAGCACCTTCTCCGGGTACCTCCTGTACGAAGACTGAAACCCCTCCCCGCCGCAGCCCAGCTCGAACCCTCGACTTGCCGCTGAGAGTCTTGCACAGCTGCGCGGTGTCTCCTGCCTTGAGACCTGTCTGTAGCCACCAGTATACAGTATGTGAATGTGAGCGTGGCAAATTAATCAATAAAGCCCTTGACCTGCTCCACCTGTTTCCGAGATCTTTTGTTTGTTTGTTTTGCAAGCCTTTACTAACCCCCCTCAAACGCCACCCCATTTATAATCGATCAGCGAACAATTAGAAATGAGAGGCCAGTGCCTCTCCGGTCCAGCAGGGGGCGAGCGCTCCGGTGGCCCGCCGTCCCTCCCCGCCCGCTGATTGGCTGCCGCGGTCAGCAGGCTTCCTGCTATGTGGCGCTCGGGGCGTCATGTGCCGGAAGAGGCGCTGGGGCTCGTGCTGGTCAGGTTGTGTGTAGAAATGGAAGGGAAGCGCACGCGGCGGAGTTTCCAGGATGGAGCAACAGC